GCCAGCCATGCTGGCTGGGGAATTCTGGGAGTTGAAGTCCACCCATCTTAAAGTTGCCAAGGTTGAGAAACAGAGGCTTTGCCTTTTTGCAGGAACTCAGCGGGCTTCAGCAAAGCTTAAAGAGGCATCTAATTCGAGCCATTCTGACATCACGGCACAAAATACATGATTTAGTGTTAAAAGTTGACACCAAACAGGCAGGAGACCAGCTCAGAACAAGCTTAACTATGCACGTTCTGCAGTCCAATTTCAGGACCACAGTGGTGGCTGCATTAACTAATCTGGTTTTGTTGGTTTTAACCTTGTCTCCTTTTTCATGCTTTAGTGTATTGTGTGAATCGATCCCTTTGGCTAGTTTATAATTCAGTGCATTTGAGGGAGGCAGAAAATGGATCACTGTATTGTCCAAATACAGCCCAAATAGCCCTCTATTATTATTAGTATTGTTGATGATGTCATTATCATAAAAAGGCATTCTATTTCCCATTATTAGAAGCCTCCAAATGGCTTACAATGAACAATTAACGTGCAGAATACAAGCAGGAAATTAGCCCAGTATAAACATCGCATAATTTAAAAAGCACGGGGAGGAAGAAAAACAAAAAATAAAATTAACATCATTCCTGGGGCAACTCCTGCAGGCCAGAAGCAAGACATCTTCATCAGGTGCGGGGAAGATCTCTGGCTGGTCTGGCTCGAGGTCTTTTGGGGATGTAGGTTTCAAGCAAGGGGGTGAAAGCAGTCTAGTTTAAATAAAGGGATGTCTTATTAAAACAACCACACCTGCCCGAGCTTTCCATGTTTGCAAATGCCATATGAAAAATGCTTGTTTATGAGATCCTGGAGGGCTAGACAAGATTAGCATGGACGCAGGTTTAAGGAAAAAAAAACATGCATGCTTGTTATCTTTCCGTGCCATGAGCTAAACATCTGCAGTTCTCCCGCACAAGTCACCCTCGCAGCAGGGCCTGTAAGCTTCTTGCCAAAGTGATAATTGGAAGCCGTGTCTCTCCCCGCCTCGGTCTGGGGAGAGCGAACTCCAGCCCTGGAATGAACCTGGTTTGTGAATCACCATTCTGCAGAACCCAGAATTCCTCTCTGATCCCGACACCTGGATGATGATGTCCTAAGAGACTGAAAACGTGCATCGCCGTGAGTCAATCCTCCTTGCACAGCTTCACGTGATACCCTAATCCACAACGCAGGGTTTGCCTTCCAACAGGATCCACCAGGTCATGAAGACAAGGATGCCTGTATTGCACTCAGATGCTGTTTGGTTGAGGATTGCAATCTTTCCCTTCTAGCGCCTTCCAAGAATGGGGGACTCTGGTTCCCAGCATTCCACATCCCAGGCTGGCTAGGAATTGTGGGAGCCTAAGCCTAGCTTCCCTGGGAGACACCAAGTTGTGGAAGACTGATCCATGGGAGGGTCTCATGGTCTCTGACTTTTCCTGCAATGGTTTCTTACTTCTCTTTTCTCTCCCCGACTCAACGGTTCCGTCCGCCTTTCTTGGGACTCGTCTTCCATGGGACATCAAAGACTGCCATCCCTGGGGCACATGCGACATTGAACGACAACTCAAGCCCCTTTCTTACAGCAGAACCTTGCCCACATGGATCGCAGCTAAGAGTCCAACAAAGTGAATGGGGATCTGTGGGAACAGCTGGAACGCTAGATCAGGGTTTCTCAACCTTGGCAGCTTTCAGATAGGTAGACTTCAACTCCCAGAATTCCCCAGCAAGCTGGGCTAGCTGGGGAATTCTGGGAGTTGAAG